AGTGGAAAACGAAACACCTTTAAAGCTTAATAATTAGCATATTGTATATTGTTTAATACATACAAAACAGTAATCTAAAACACTCAAATTTGTGGTGTAAGAGCTAGAACAGTTTATCCACTCATTTATAATTTCTGTGTATCATCTCCACAGGTTGCCTTACAACCTCACTGTGATGACAAGCTTCCAGCAGGTCACTGCCCCTAGGTGACAGCCTAGCTTAGCAAAAAGACTGGAGGCAGCTAATCGCCTCCTGGCTATAGCTCCATACTTAGCGTGCAGGCATGAGTGTGGTATCAACCTTTTCGTCTAAGCAAATAGTCTCCTAAAACATTTTTTTTAAACTCTCACACTGTGGTGCTAATAGAACTGAAATTGGGTATAAGTGTAAGGAGCATCTTGAAATAAAAATAATAAATACAGTATGGTTTATACAGCAACTTGTCATCCATTCGCAGGTTCTACTTCTGCCAAAAAGTCCGGGGATTTTGGCATTGCATCTGCTTGCCTCACCAAGAACAAAAGCCTCAGGTTCAAGCATTTAGTCTACTCATTAATGCAATGACACAAGAACACAAGTTCTCACATTCAGTGCCTGTATTTGGTATGTATTTGCTGTAGGTTGTGGTACAAAATTAACCACAACATTTTGATCCACTAAAGGTTGGACTGCTATTATGAAGCATGTCCAGGTTCTCCACATTTCGACTGTGAATTGATGACACCTGAGGGGTCCCTGGTGGTTAAAGCATCTGGGGAGATGTGCAAGCATATCCTCCCAGAATATCCTCTGAATCAGCACATCAAAACCTTAAAGTACAACTGCACACTGATACGAAAAAAGAGGAAAGAAAAGAAGACAATCGTCATAACCAGTAAAGGAATTTTTTTTTTTTTCATCTGAAAATACAAGTCCAAGTATTGCACTCTTAACCCTGTAAAGCCAAGTGTATCATGTTTGATACATGAGTTTTCGAGACTTCTACATCAGTGTGATATATTCCTTGAAAAAACTGATATTTACAATCAGATACATGCAGTACCTGGATAATCCACTAGGGATCAGTAATTTATACACCAGAGGGCCTTCACTTGAGACATCCAAAATGTCTGCCGTCAAGTGACCCACATGTAATTTTATTTATTTATATTATTATTATTATATTTTTGTCAATTTTTAAAAAGTTAAGGTAAGAAAAACTTTAAAATTGTTACTGAAACTTCAATAGGAATATTTAATGGATTGATGTAATGCAAAACTAATATTTCACAAGTTAATTTATACTTATGATACATTTTTCTCATTTAGATAAACTAATAAAGGTTTAACTGACATGATTAGGTATATTTAGAGTAAAATTGGGATATCTTTTTGAACAAAAAAAATTATTTTGTATGTTTGAGGAAAATTTCAAAGGAAACTCAAAGTTTAATGAATTAAACAGTGTTTTATATATTTTTGTTTGTTTAAGAAAATGAACAACAAATTGCACGAAAATACCAATGTAGCAAAAATGATATGCTGGTTCCACTGGTGGATTTGTCATTCCTGCATGAAAACTTCATTTGAGAAGGTATGATGTTGTGTTATATGGAAAAAAAATATTTTGTATGTTTGAAGAAAATTAAAAAAAAAAAAAAAAAGGAAACTCAAAGTTTTAATAGGTTAAAATGTTTTATTTGTTAATGTTTTATTTTTCTTCAAATTGCGCAAAAAGACTTGATGTATCAACTATGATACAAATAAGAATTCATATATGCAAATTGATATTTATTTTTTGTCAGCAGGTTCAATAAACACCCCAAACATAATTTTCTGGCAATTATTTCATGGTTCAGGCTTTGCAGGGTTAAACTACACTATTAAAATTGACCCATTGTTACTGTGAAAAGTTAACCCAGTACTGCGTTGGTGCTAAATTGACCACACACTGGGTAGATTTTTATTGTTGCAAGCCATAAGTACGGAGCCCCTAAAGGGACATGGGAAAAAAAAAAAAAAAATGAAACGTATCTAGTGTGTTTTTTTTTCCCCCCATGTCCCTTTAGGGGCTCCGTACATAAGTGATGGATTATTTGTAATTTTTAGAAAAAAGGACCAGTGGGTAGGATTTAGTGGTATCTAATGGCAAAGTTTCAGATTGCAAGAAGTGAACTAATTTTGCGTCTGTATTTGATGAGGAGATTTAATGATTTGATGATGAGAAACTATGGTGGCTGCAAAAGGCTTTTTGGTTTGTCCGTTCTGGGCTACTGTAGAAACATGCCGGTTCAACATGGCGGTCTCCTTGGAAGGTGACTTGTGGTGTCTAGATATAAAAAGGCACATTCTAAGGTATCCTTATTTTCGGGTGATTATACACCAATGAAAACATACCAATGAATATTATATTCCAATTCTGCCAATAGATCCTCAAATGTTACACACTGGACCTTAAATACACCCTCAGGGATGTTGGACATTTTTTTTTCAACCTATGCCAATGTAGCAGAGTAAAAGTGTGCTGTAAAATGAATGCTACTGAGCCTAATCCTCTTTCTCTGCAGACCCTATCAAGACCTGTTCTGCTACCACAGGCTTACTGCTGCATCGAGCGCCAACCTTACTGTGGCCTGTGGCGATTCTGTCTCTGTGGAGGGTCCTCATCACAGATGGCGAGACAACATGAGCATTAGCATTGGAAGCTTTGACCAACAGAAATGTATACATACATACATACATACATACATACATACATTTAATTGTACATTTGCACTATTTTCAGGAGTTGTCTTCACTCAATGTTTGGATTCCTTTTAATTTTGTTTACAAAAAGTTGAGATTTCAGCAGCAATGTTAAAGTCCCCCTCCAATCAGAAATCAGTTGTTCTTCTCATTCCTACAGTGTGCTGTTTGAATTCTGTGCAGAGTTTGACATTATAAGTATGTTTTCACATTTATCTGCTGAAAGTGGAAAGTTTCTCTGTGCTCATTGAAAATCTTATTTTAAGGGGCAGGGCCTACCAGCAGGATTTGTGACATCACAAATAGTTAGGAAGTCAGTCCTGGTCCAGTATGCAACTTGCACAGTGTGATGTAGAAACCTGACGCCACCAGTGCACATCCACTGAGAATGGACTTTACAGTGAAGGAGGAGACATCTTGTTCATTCAAGTTTTCCTGCTGGACACAACATTTATATATTCATAGATTCTGCAGTCTTTAAATGGAGGTAGAAGGAGTAGATGACTTTTTATGGATTTTAATGAAGGAAATTAGGAAATTATACTTTTGTGAAAAAACAAAAACAGACATACATTATTATTCCTAGGAGTCTATTTGTATATGTCATAATACATGTCTGGAGGGGAACTTTAAGAATATGAGTCAGTGTGACTTTAATGTGGTTTATGTGTAATTTCCAGTGGTGACTTGCCTGGAGGTGGTGAGGTATACTGTTCATATTTGACACAATATTCAGCAAAAAAAAGAGTCAGTGTTCCGTCATAAGTTTACTTATTGCTTGGTCGCTAAAGGAAATATTGTGCTCGTCTATGTATACATAGGGTCTACAAGTTTACCACATATAGGCATACATATAAATAATAGTTACTGATTTTCAAGTGGTATCTCACAATTCCTGGTGTGCCATGTAAATTAATATAAGATAGTGTAAAACCAAAGAATTAAAGATTGTTGTTGCTCAACCCGTACAGAATTCATATTTTTGCATGGATAGTTTCAGGGACCAGAGGGTTTTCTTAATATAGTCAGTTAATTTGTGTTTAGATCTCTAAAACAAGTTTGGTGTGACAGCACGTCAGTAAATGAATCCTGTGCAGCGCTGTAAACTTTAACATAGAACCCACACAATCCATATTAAACAACCTGCTGACCGCCTGGGTGCTTACAACTCTCAACTGACTGACTATGTTGTTCAGTACAGAAAGGTAGGCTGAAGTTATACCTTGCAACTAAATGATAAGATTTGAATGTTGTGTTCATTTGCTACTTTAGGACAGAGCCAGGCTAGCTGTTTTGCCCTGTTCCCAGTACGTTGATAATATTTTGCTGCGTGGTTCCATGAAGCAACAAGATCTGATTGTTGATGCTTGTGGTAGTGGTTAAATTTTTGTTAAGGAATGACCGAGGGAGCATATAATGTGAAACAAGATTGTTTAGAATATGAGATACAGATATTGATAGATGGTAGAAGATTATGTTGCAAGTGTACAGGATGAGGCAATGCCTTTGGACGCAGTTTTCCACAGGGCAGGTTTTCAGGTAGATGCATGTTTGTTGAACATTAAAAGAAACATATGCGCAGTTTGAGCATGTGGATCAAAAACAGTAAACCTGGACCCCCGCCTACAGAGTAATCAATAAGTATTGAAACCTAGTGGAAAACTACGGAGCCCCTAAAGGGACATGGGGGGGGAGGAAACGTATCTAATGCGCACTAGATAGTATCTAGTGCACACTAGATACGGATCTTGTGCGCACCAGATACGGATCTTGCGAGAAACCTTAGATTAAGCACAGGCGGTTGTGCTTCCTGTGCATATGCCTCTAGGCTCATTAAGATCTTAACCTCAAAGAATGGCTGCAGAAGTGGACTTATTCTCTTTCCTGAAAACGCGAAACATACCTGATAGTGTCATCAACCAACTAAAAGATGACAAGGTAAAGATAAATGTTAACTTTAGTGACATAAAGTAAGCAATACATGTGTAGCCTAATGTTGCTAGCTTTCTCTACCCACTATGTTAATGTAATTTTTCAAACGTTTTTGACGTTTGCCTTGCTTATTACAGATCGACATCAACGTCATAGGTGTTATGACAGATGAGGAGTTAGGACAGTATATCGTAAGATATGGGGGCGACTTGCATTTTGTCGTCAAAGAACTGTGACAAATGAAAAGTAAGGAACGGAACAATGGAAAACTCCTGCCGACAGACAAACAGTTGGCAACATTGTTGGCAATAAACATTCAGCCAAAGCCACCCGGCAGATTGAAATGGGATGGCTCCACTTTGATAACGGCACTTATCACCAGATCAAAACAAGAAATGGAGGTGGAACACGGCACCTGTCAGTGGAGAAATCAGTAACTATGGGTGAACTGCTGGAGACGGGCAAGGGCTTGTTTTTTCCAAATGGATATTCATCTAAAGGACCAATGGAAGACCTCGAGTTTGATATTCGTGATTTTGGTCACAATGCAGTATCCCCTGAAGTCACAGTGAGCCAGCTGTACGAGCAGACTAAGATACAAATGCTGCGCATCTACACAACCTCCAAGGCTAAAGATGTAATACTTCTCTCTGATGCATCATTTGACTTCGAGCCCACAGATGAGAGGCCAATGAAGGTAATTTATCTTCTGCCACATTTCTGTTATCAAAACATACTCTAGGTACTGAATATTGATCAGGGACTATCATATATTTCAGATTTTAAAATAAAAATAACAGATGGGATGAGGTTCAGAATGTATCCATAAAGTCTGTATAAACCTGGAAACAGTGTGTAACAGCTGACCTGTAGAGATGTATAGTAGAACACAGAACATTAACTATCATCAAATCCTGGCCAATCATGTTAATGAAGCTACCTCAGCACCGTGTGTAAACGCACACATCAGCCTCTTTCTTAGTTTGGAGACGTACGTATAGTTTCCGCTGCCTTGTGATGCTGCAGCCAGCTGTGGGCAACAAACATAATATCAGTACTGATGTTTTTGTGAAATCCATACATTCAGTGACACCTGAACAACAATATTGTATGATTCAGACATTAATCTAACATTTATCAAACTTGCCCCTTTTCACATTAATAGCTGTACTATGAAGGAAAATCTCAGTAGATTATGTTATAGATGTAGAATACTATAATAGTACAAATACATGAAAGTTGGTTTGTGATTGTGGAGAGCTTTGTTTGTGCACACTTCTGCTAATTAAAGACATGCAATGTAGGGCATTTGTGCTCTTTGCAGTGTTCATTATAGACCAATCTGTGTTCTTAAATATGGCATACTCAATTAGACGGCATTAAACGGGGCAGATTGGGGGTGCAAATGCTGCACAATTCTGGTGCAATTAGCAGGCGCAATTCATTCTTTGTGGACAACCATGTAGTTTATCTGTCTTTCTTCTCATGAAATTCAACAACTTGAATCAGTGATTTTTGAGGATAAATCTATTGTCTTAACTCAGTGTCAAACAAAAAAATATTTATCTGCTGAATCAGGAGTGATAGAGCAAGAGGTCAAGGTTAGGTCAGGTTAATACAATTTTCTAAACATATTTGCTTCACTTCTCTCTCCACTTATGTGCATGTTCAATCACAATAAGTTCAGAAAGACTTGTATTGAACAGTTGGACAATCATGGCTGTATAAGCCTATAATCTGCTGATCTGCTGATTTGTTTATAGACTAGGACAATGCAGAGACGATCCTTGAGGAACAAAACCAGGAGACGTCACCACTGGAGGACTGGAACTGATCATCGAGTGGATCATCCAGAGAGCTCCACTGATTTAGATCCAGCACCCAGTGGCTCAATGCAGGAAAACCATGAAAAAGTAAGCCCCAGTATTGCATTTTTATGGACCCAGTTTGTGATATACAGTATGGAACTTGTGTTGTATGGAGATTAATTTGTGCCAAAATGTTCAAATAATACTTTTTAAAATTGAAACAAAAATTGATCAATCAAAATATCAAATACAAAATTGAAACCAAAAATAATGTCAAAGATAAAATTCAAAACTTGCGAACTCGTGAAGTCTAAGAGGACACAGAGATGGGGTTTAAGAGACCATGATTTTGTTGCAAACAACAAATGTAAATCCATCTCAAATTTTAACTGCAGCTAAGATGATGGAAGTGGGCAAAAGGTTTTGAGTTCAATGACACATTAACTCAATATGCATATACCAAAACAATCTGCTCAGGTGCAAGATGTTTTAATCACATGAATGAATGCCATCCAAGCATCTTTTGAGGACTTTGAAGTAAACTTTGGACCCGTTTGTGGTGATGATGGTGATAATCAAGACTCCACCAGTATGCAGGTATAGTGTAGAACTGAGTCATTTCTAGCAGTGCTGCAAAAAAATATTACTGCCATTATTGATTCTTTTAAAGAGTTTTCCCTATTCATTATTCTGTCTATGAAATGTACAAAACAGTGACAAATTGTCATCCCAAGTTCTCTCACACCAAGATTACTTTTTCATCCAAAAATTCCAAAACCAAAAGATATTCCATGTATTGTGATATAAAACAGAAAAGCAGCAAATCTAGAACCACAGCACAATTCATTTCTGCATGCTAATTGATATATTGATTGTCAAAGTCGTTGATTCATTTTCTGTTCACCAATTGATTAATCGATCAATAATCACACCGAATAACCTTTTTTAAAAATCTTGCAGCACTCTACACTGAATGACGGACCTGTATCATCAAGCAGTCTTCTAGCATCACCAGACCCATTTGAAAAAGAACCCCTTGTGAAATTAAGACAAGTAAACATAGTTGATGATGTCCTTAATATCTTCATTGAACCAAAAATACTGAATGCTAATCTAAAAATGGAGTTTACAAATGAGAAAGCTGTGGAGAGTGATGGTGTGTCAAGAGAGGTATACTCAGCATTCTGGGAACATTTTTTGGAACAGTGTGAGGGGGAAGATGAACGAGTACCCAGACTACGACCATACTATTCTGAGAAGGCATGGCAAGCTCTTGGAAGAGTGTGGTTGAAAGGATACCTGGACCACAACATCATACCAATCAGACTGTCACCAGCCTTTGTTCTTGCCTGTTGTCAAGGACTTGGTTCAGTGGATGAAGAACTATTGATGATGTCATTTTCCAAATTTCTTTCAGAGAATGAGCGTGCATCACTTGAAAAAGCACTACAGGGCAATATTGATGAAACTGTTGAAGAGGACTTACTCAACGTCTTCTCAAGAATGGGCTCACACTGCCTGCCCTCTAAAGACAACGTACGGGCTGCCATTGTAACAATGGCACACAAAGCTCTTCTTCAAGAGCCAAAGTTCATAATTGACTGTTTCCACTCCAGTATTCACAATGCTGTGCCAACACTCATAACCAAAGAAAGCATAATGGAGCTTTACGAATCTAAGCGGCCAACTAACAAGAAAGTGGCCCAGATGATAAAGCCATCAACTGAAAGCCTAAATCCACAAGAGCAGACAGCTCTTAACCACCTTCTACGGTATGTGAGAAGCATCGACCAAAGAAAACTGGAGATCTTCTTACGCTTCTGCACAGGGTCCACTGTGCTGTGCACAGACACAATCAAAGTAACTTTTAATAGATTGTTTGGTTTAAGTCGCAGGCCTGTAGCACACACATGTGGAGCAGTTCTTGAGTTACCATGCACCTACAGCTCATACCCTGAGTTTTGTCAAGAGTTTGACAATGTCCTGTCTGGTGATTGCTTTACAATGGATATTGTGTAGTGAATGTAAGGGATCTTACACATGTTTCTCTTCTACTGACATTGTTATGGCATTTGTCTGAAACAAATCTACAGATTTACATTTAAAAAACTATATTTGTTCATTCATGTATTACAACTAAGGAAAAAAAATTTCTACAACGAGAGGAGATAAAATCAGATGCATAATCTGATGACATTGCTTTATTAAACCTTTATTAAAACTGAAACAAACAGTTTTTACATTTTTTTGCTTTGGTTTTGTTATTTTCTTATTGTTAATTATTTTGTTGTAATATTTGTCGCACACTGAGTTATACATTTTGTTTAAGTCCAGAAGACAGTTTAAGTTTAATCATTTTGATAAGTCAGAAAGGTCTGCTCTCATAGGTGAACATCCCTTTTCATTTTCATATTATCGTGTGCATGTTTTATGCAATTGTTATTAAGAAAGAAGTTCAGCATTTAACAAAATAATACCTGTTTGATGTACATACAGTACCATTTCAAATGGCTACCCATGGCTGTTTTTGTTGGAGCCTCATATGGTAAACATACAGACAGTAACTGTCAAGAGCACAATATTGTTGAATAAAAATGTAATTCCTCTTTCATGTCCTGCCATGTTGTTTTTCTTTGTTTTGATTTTGTTCGTTTCCTGTTCATGACTGATGTAAAGGCAAAGTAAAACATCTATGACAATACTCCTATATGCTGTTCAACAAATTTAAATCTCTAATTCCAGCACAAATTACTGAGAAGAGCTAATACTCTGTCGTTTGAAAAATCTGAGGTAATCCCAGACTGATTCAATGAAACACAGGCTTCAAGAGACAGAAAAAAATGAGACAGCCTAAATCCACACAAGAACTGCTAAAAGTTATCCATGAGTTATCCATCTGCCAACTACCTTGAAAAACTTTGTGCACAATATCGCTGCAAATGTTCTTAATGTCTGTAACAGTCAGTGTGCACATATTGACAGATCAATCCTTTTTCCAAGGAGAAATAATCCAAAATTCCAAATATAGCTTCTACAGAGTTCCTGGGAAAACTTTACAACTGAGAATGTTTGGTGAATAAAGCATGGTGGACTGCAGAAGAATTGTCTGATCACGTGTTCAGTTTAGATGGATACAAATGTAGTTCCATCTCAAATTAGAGAGCAGATCTTATCTCATTCCTCAAATGCAGGTACAAATCCAATGCTTGATAAGCATCAGCTGGAAGATGCAGCTGTGACTCCACCATCAGAACATTGCAGATGTTGTAGATGTCTGTGTCACATGGCACTGCTGGTCGAAATGTGCAGTTACTCTGACACAACTGCACATCAGCTCTGTCCACTGGGGAAATGCAGTCATCACTTGTGTAGAGTTCTGGGAACATGTACATGATTTGAGGTCAACCACTGGGTACCCTGTCATTCTTCGATGGTCTGATGACATGTGAATCCCACACATGGATGGTCTCATCTAATTCGTGCTGGAATAACGGTGTATTAGAAAGTAAGAAAACAAGTTAATTGATATGAAATTTGTAATTCTCATGTGGCTCTTATATATGTTTTGAAATAAATCATGTTAAATGCTGACTTTTCTGATGAAGTAAGGAGAAATGGTAGGAAAATAAACAAAATATCGAAGAGCAGAGAGATGGATTCGCAGCCGTTGCTGTTATTTCGTGCTCCGTCTGATAGAGTTTGCTCACTATATATTATTTTCTATTATTATTATTTATTATTTTATTAAATACTAAAGTTGTAAGTGTTTTGGCACGGCTGGCTGAGTGGCGCTATCCATGGTACTTGTTTTGTGTTTTGCATGATCGCATATATCAATATTAAATTGAGAGCGGTGAAGACGCCTGAAGGGGAAAAAAGGTTAAAAAAAGAAATGGTTAAAGGGGAAAAAAAAAAAAGAGGGGGGGGGAAAGGAGGAAAAAGGGGAAAAAAAAAAAAAAAAAAAAAAAAAAAAAAAAAAAGGAAAAGCCCCCCCATGTCAAGCTGTTGTCATATTAGGCCTGATTATGTGTATTTTATGGGATATGTGCTCCTCTGCTGCCACTCTGGATGTCTGAAAACGTATTCAGGCAGCTTTTACAGCGCTAAACCATTATGGACCAGCACCTCCCGAATCTGTGCACACATCAAATCACACACACAGTCATTCCCACCCCCCAGAATAGATGGATTATTGAATATATAGTATGATGTGGCGGTGTCAGGCCTGTTTTCTGTATTATTATTATCTTTATTAGATTATTTTTCAGGCACCAACTCACCACAGGGAGCCCAGGCTGCTGCAAAATTAACACTGTAAACAATTAAATGATTAACAGATCGATTGAATGGTTGGCTGTTTGCTTGGCTCGCTGCCCGTTTTCCTGAGTTGCTTTTACTGTGTTTATTCTCATTAAATAAAGTATAAAGTTTTGGCAACAAAATTTGTTTTAGGCAACTTTTTCTACCATTTTGGTGGTTTCCACCCACAAAAAGTCGTGAAGCCATCGTGAATTTAATTCACTTCATTTAACATTCTCTGTGGCCCGGTCGCCTCTGACAATCCTTGGACAACCACCCAATCTCTGGACTGCCTCTATGTAGTAGCCTCTGATGATTTTTGGGTCACTGCTGGTAGTAAATGCATTCATCCAGATAATTTTCCGGGGAAACCCGTCAATGCAGCCATTGATACAGATACCAAATGGCTTCAGTTTGTCATAAGAGTCAAAGTGCCAAATATAATTGGGCCCTTTTGCAAAATAGCTTCGGCAATGGAGCCGTCTCCTTGCTCTGAGTTCAACACCCCTTGGGTCAAGTTCTTTTAGAATTAAGCGTACCTCTTCTTTTTTGACGTGTAATCCATTCTCCTTGCATTTTGTGTACATCCACCTATACCCACAGAGTTGGCCAGATGTTTGTAACTGTTCATGAATGAAATTAACTATGTGATCCAAAGTGACGTATCCCTTGCGCCGAAACAGACTACAAGACTTCAAAATTAATTTTATATGTCTTTCAGACACAACATGACGGTGACGACTTGCAAGTAAAGCAAACCGAAATGCAGTGGATGGTCTCCCAGACATCATGCGCACACAAGATCTGTATCTAGTGCTCACAAGATACTATCTAGTGCTCACAAGATACTATCTAGTGAGCACAAGATATGTTTCATTTTTTGTTTTTTTCCCATGTCCCTTTAGGGGCTCCGTAGAAAACACATAGCACGCTATAATAGTTGTAGGATTATACAGCATACCTAAACTAACCTTGTCACTGGCGTTAGATATTCTGTCTGTCATAGTATTGGGTTTAGTTTAGTTATTTCCAGTTGTATCTTGTAACTAACCTTCCTAGGTTAGAGAATCAGGATCAAATGATTCTTGTTAAAGTAAAAGAAAACTAACCTACAGAAGGACATTACAAGTGTCCACACACATTTTTGAAATGCCATAATAAATGGTGTAGAGATGTGGCTTGACATATCCACTTGAGAAAACAGCAAATGATCAGGAGGAGTGTAACCATCATTGCAAAACATCTGGAATAATGTAGCTGAAGACAAAAGTCAATCTCAATTGCTAAATGAAAATGCTGAAGATGAACAGTCATGGACAGCAGCATGGGGTGTATTTGGATATGCATGCAATGAATGCAGACAGTAGATATTGCTCAGGAGGTATTGATCAGCACTTTCACTGATTAAGGCATTGCTTTTCTACATGACAGTGAACTTTAAAACGACAAACAATTTTACATCGATTAATAGGTCCCTGTAAGTGAAACCTTTCGTTCAATTGTGAAGAGAGCCAAGATGTGTCTTTAGTCTATGTAAATCCACTCAGACTTGTGTTTGGGGCAAAGGATATGAATTGTCTGTCTTCAGGATAGAGGTCAGAAGTACTGATACCTGTATGTGTTTTCTCTCCATGATGCATGAATCTTCTGAAACTGAATTATTTTCTTCAATCTGGAACCTGAGGAAGTTTTCTTCAAACCCAGATTTATTTAACACAGACACTGGCGAGGTGTTTTTTTTTTTACAAAGGGAACTGAAAAGTTCCACGAAGCCAGAAACTAAAAGTTGACATTGAGTAACTATCAGAATACAGGAATTCTGAATGGTGATGGATGAGCAATTTAGATTCCATCTTT